GTGATTGGTTCTTACCACTAGAGTGGGCACGTGACGCACCAATAGACGCACGGCGCTACGATCGCGAATATTAACACTAGATTGCCCAAGGAAGTCATTTTGACTGCTTTTTAATTTCAATTAGAAAAACAATTATGTATATAATAACACAATTTCTTAGAATTTTGTGACTTTTTGTATAACGTATAAATGCGTTTATTAATAATTGTAGTTACCTTCCCCCTCCTTCATTTCCGGTATATATATGTACTTATATGTGTTATACCTATATTGCCCAAAAGCAGTCATTTTGACTGCTTAGGAAATTTTAAATAATCAAATGACTCTTATTATTGAATCGAGTAAATTTCTTATATGACCAGTTCGGCTCTGTATTGAAATATTAGTTTTCATTTTTTTTTTCGGTTACCGACACATGATAACATACAAGTACATGATAAATTGTCGATTTGGGCGTATACTTGATAAGTTGCAGTTTCTCAATAAGCTAAAGTAGTACTTGTTAGTCGAATCTTTATGCAGTGATACTTGTTCTAACAAGTTGTTTATTTTATTTCTTTTGCGCCCTAAACTCATAATATTAAAACCTAATATTAAAAATTAATTTTAAACAAATTTCTTTATACATTAATTATTCTTTCACAATGCAGTCATTTTGACTGCTTTTGGGCAATATAGATATATACTAAGTTTCAGTCTTTCTAGTGTTAAGCTCTGTTTAACAGGATGTTATTTATTTTTCTTTAAAGGATCAGAAATCTCAAGTTTCGCTCATTCGAATATCATACAGAAATTAGTGGATAAGCCTCTATGCTAATTTGGGCTTAAGATAAACTTTTCCCCAAATGTGACGTCATAAATGTTAGTACCGTAGTTACGCCACTGGCTTTTAGTTATCTCTCTTCGAAAAAGAAGAAAAATATCCACTTAATTTTATCGTCTATTCTGCAAGTTTCAGAAGGGAGAACTTCCCCTAAAATTGCCCCGGTCGTAAAGTCTAACGGTCTGGGACGAAAATTACTAGTTACGCCATTGGCTGTTGTAGTCCGTTGAAGACCCAACGGGCTCGCGAGTAGCTAGCGTTATTCGGCTCTTCGATGGCGCGTTCGAATTTTCGAGGATACCAAAAGGGTTCGTCCGAGAAGTGGGTCAATGAAATGGAACGTATCGGAGCACGATATTGCAGGCTCGATATACAGGGTGTCCCGTAAATAGTGTAAGAACCGGAAATGGGGGGTAGGTGAGACGATTCTAAACAACAATTTCCTTTGCAAAAATGTCGGATGGGGCTTCGTTTTTGAATTATTAACGAAAAACACTAACCAATCACGGTGCTCGCCTTTCGCGCGCTCAGGGCCGTCCGACCTCGGAGAGCCACCGCGCCGGGTAGGTAGCAAGATGCGCGTTGAAGATACATCGAGGAACGAATACAAATAATTAAAAATACTGCCACTCCAATTGTTACCGAATTCGTTAATAACTACGTAATTAGTACGTAAATTACTAAATCGAATTTATTAATTATTTGTATTCGCTGTTTCCAAGGAAGAAGGAATAAAATCTCGGAATTTTTAGAAAATTAACCCTTCGCACCCGAGTGACGCTTCTCGCCAGAGTGTTTTAAAATTAAAATTAGAATTATTATCAGAAAATTAAAATAAATGCGGTAAGAACCATTTGTAACCGTTTGTTATTAAAAACTGTACTGGAAAAGCAGACTGGATTTCTGCGTACCGAAACATTCCTCGAATGCAAAGGGTTAATAGAGAAATAATTGAAATTCGACTTACGCATTCATCTGCAAGTTGACCTACTGCGCTGACAATAGGGCCCGGCCAATGCACCGCTGTCGATCATGGCAAGGTCGAAGACCCCAACGAAAATCAGCTGATGGGCCAGCCCGGTCACTGTACCTGCTTCTCACCCCGAAAACACTTCACAGCACGGTCACTAACAATTTTCACTTTCACTTTTCACTTTTGCATACCGATGCGCTCCGTTGCACCCTTCTTCGATTGTTGCTCCTTCCTGGGTTGATAACGGTGCCTGGATGTTGCTCCCTCCTGAATTGTTACTCCTTCCTGAATGGTTGGTGCTCCCTGAATTGTTGCTCCTTCCTGGATTGTTGCTTGTTCGAACCTTGCTCCCTTCAGGATTGTTGTTCCTTTTCGCTGGGATAATGGGCGCGATAGGTGCGGGCGGCTTTCTTCGCGTTTCCCTTGGAGTCCGCGAAAACGAAGAACGAACGATAATACTCTGCGTTTACGCGTTCCATCTCGTGCGTCCGCTTCTGATCAGAAACGCGTAGGTTCTGTGAAAAATTTTGACTGACAAATTGCAATTTCCCTCCCCGAAAAAGTTCCAGGTACGGCAACCCATTGTCGCACGATTCGGAATTACCTACGATCGGCGAACGTGTACGTGTAGTCGTCGGGGTAAAAAGGATTTCTATTCGGAAGAAAAGGGTCACGTGTTTGGCAGCTCGACGCTGTAACACGTGCTCGTCGTTCGCGTAGGTTGCACAGGCCCTCGGGGCTGTCTTTGGGAATTTTTGCCCGCGGCGTGGGGCGGGGCAGAAAACCGATAGATACCGAGGGAATCCAATTGGGACGGAACAAAAGGCTTTCGGTGGATTCGCGTATCTAGTGGGCGGGGCATTTAAGACTGGTCACCCGTATAACTTATTATGTTACAAGCTGCTATTCTAAACAGCAGAGGGGACTAGGATTGGTAAAAATTTGCCATCTTCGCGATTTTATTTGCATTTCAACTACCTTGATTCACATGGTGTCTCAACCCGGTTGATTTTCAATATTTTTTTGGGTATCGTTTTCTTGATCGATTCAATCCAAAAGATAAATGCAACATTTATTGTGTTTTATTATTCCAAAATTGACTAAATAGAACGGTTGTGTCTCCTTCTGGTTGAATCCGTGTACTTCTTTTCTTCATGGCGCTGATAGAGTTATTAAATAAAGAGAAAAAAAATAGTATTACGATCGGTAAAATGTCGCTATTTTCAGGTTCGCGCTCGCGATCGTCGCACGATATTAATTCCGTTCATGTAGTAATAATAATAAAATTCTCGTCTTGGCCATTCTCGTTTCCGAAAATCGTAACTCGGGTTCGCCAGGCGCCCCGTGGGTTCGTAGAATTTCATGGAATCGAGAGTAAAACGCTTTCGCAGCTCGTGAATGCAGTTTACGAATCTCGTAAATTCGAGCGGTGGAAGGTAGAAAATACAGTAAAACCTCGATTTACCAGATTAATAGGATCACGGAAAGGCGGAGGTTTAGGGGAAGGGAGGGGGAGGTGCCCGTTAAATCCAAATTACCGTAAAGTAACGTCTATATAAACCCAAAGGTACGGTAAATAGCAAATTACATAACTTTGAGAGCGACACGAATCGTTTTTAAATGGTATTAAAAGATGCATAAAAATAAATCACTCACAAACTCGTTGTTGTTTATCGCCAGCGACAGAAAAAGCACGTCAGTCGATAGATTTCTATAACAAAATTCCGAATTGAATCTTTTATATTAAGCTTTTATTAGAATTATAATTTTTATAACGCAACGTAAACGTATTTTTAACAATGGTAATTTATTATCGACAACACGTCGACGATGCAGAATTTTCTATTAAAATTTTGATGGATCCCACGAAACAAAATATACAGAGGACATTGTTCAATGTCCACAATATGCATAGACAGGAATACGAAGAACCTCATCTCGCTCCTCGAACCAATTTTCAAGTCGGACGAAGCGTGAATATTTGTGTTGGCATAATTGGACGTGAAAAATTCTTATTTTCCTACGGGAAATGAAACATCGTCCGGAGTTTTAATTTGCCACGGAATAACATTGTCCCCGATCATTTAGTTTACCGAAAAAGAAACTCAATTTAAACGTTATAAAACATATTTAAAATAAATTTAATTATTTTTTCCTCCAAAAAATTGTTTCAGCTGTTATAAAAGAAAAAAAAAAAGAAATCAATAATTACATTTTCGCGTGGTTGATAATAAAATATTGTTCGCTCTGTTCTTAATTTGATATTAAAGAATGGTTTCGCGAACTTCGAGTGCCGCATCGAGAAACGCAAGATGGCCGCCATAGAGTGGTGCATAACTTAGGGACGTACGGACGTAAGACCGCGGAATCACTGTCCCGTTAAATCGGAGTTTCACTGTCGGACGAACCAGCGGGGATCCAGCGAAACTAGTCGACGGGGGCGTTCTTGTTCGAAGCCTGGTTCCACTACTTTTTCTTTCGTTTCCGGGCTCCTGCGTCGATCGATCGCGTCCCCGGGGCAGAGCGGAAAATTGTATTCGAAGCATGGCGAATTTTCATCGCGCTTCGCCTCCTCCTCCTGCTCTCTGTCCCACCCCGAGCCTACCCCCTTCCTCCCCTCTCTTTGCATTACTCTCGACACACATTCGCTATATGTATCGGGTTTCGCTTTGAATTGAGCTAATTTGAGCATAAAAAATCGGGTCCGGCCGCGCCGAGCGAAACTCGCCCCCGTTCGATCGAGCAGCCCGGTCACGTTACACATTGCATTGCAGGCAGAAAGAGAGTTTAGACTCGGGTTAACTCTTTGGCGGTACCTGTGTACAAATATCGATTTTATCTCCGATCGACCCTCTCGTTCCTGCATGCTCGTCGATCGTGACTTTTCTAACGATTGTTTGGAATGTAACCGAAAACTATTGGTGCCCATAGCGGCGATATGAACGATTAATACAGAATTCACCTAATAATTACTAATACTATTTTATTACTCTGCTTCTATTAAAAAATTTCTATTTTTTTTTGTTTTCCAATTAATATTGTAGAGGGTGAGGTGATTCGGGTAAGGAATAAAATAAACGATGGCCACAGGTTAACGATAATAAATGTATTCAGATGTTACGGGTTCGGTGTCTATACTGGGGCCGACGAGACGAGTCAGTGAAGAGAAACAAAGGTGTACCGTAGCCCCGTAAGCGTTAATTATATTCTTCTGCAGAGTATCGACAAATCGATTAATCGAATTTTTTACCAGGTTACCCTGAATCCGACCCACGGTGACGGTCTCTTTCGGTTTCGAGAGGATGGACGTCGAGAAGCGGTCGACTAATCCGACCTTAATTTTCCAAAGGGCGTTCGTCGAAGGCACGCGCATGCCGCGTCGAAAATAGAAGCTATCGACTCGTTATATCCCAGTTTACAACCCCCTCTTCGTCCGCCCCCTCGTTGTTGTATGCTCCGAAAGGATACGGTCACGGTTCTTCGCGAGAGCCTCGCGACGGAACAGCTAGAACGAAGCAGGAATCAATTTCCTCTGGATATCTGGCCCGATGACTTTTCCTCCATTTCCTGGAACTCGTCAGCCGGTTAAATTCTCGGTTACGGGGGATGGCAATCAATGAAAACTAGACTCGCGAGCCCCGGCCGTCTCTGAGCCGCGCCGTCCCTTTCATTCCCGTCGACTTAGCGCTACCCGCGTTTCTCCGTAATTCCCTCCGATTCTAGTAACGAAATCGGGACCACTAGGTCACACGAAACCGGGCTAGATGGCGATTGTTTATTCTCTGCGTGCGTCCCGCGTTTGTCGGCCGTGGACGGCTATAAGCGGTACACACAGGGTGCTTAGCTACAGGTGGGTAATCCGTTAAGGGATGATTCCAGGCGACGGAAACGAAGATCAGGTACGAACAAATTGCGTTTCGCTTAAAAAAAAAAATGGAATTAAACAATTAAATTTTATCCAAATAATTATTCTACCCCCAGAGAGACAACGAAGAAATCAGGCGAAATAAAATATGATTGCACATTAGGGTGGTCCTTATTTTTCGACCATAAAATTTTTTGCACGCCGCCCCCTAAATTTGTTCCATTTCATGAAAAAATAATTTGTGCAAAATTTGAGATCGATTGAAGGTCGGGAAGACGTGGCACATCGCATGCGAAGTTTTGAAATAGAAGTAACCGCGCGCTAAGCGTAAGGAGTGGTGTGTTTCTGAAAATTTCAATGAAATATTTCATATTTTGAGGACTATAACATAATTCTTTACTTATTTAGTATTGTTCTGTTCGTACGTGCATTAAAACCCAAGTTCCATTTGTACAATATAAGACTATTTTACACTAAGCCTAACTGACCCGTAGCAGCACCGAAATATGACATACAACGTTGGACACTGAATAGACGTTGAAAGACCCTTAGTCTTGAAAATCCAGTCACAGGTGCCCAGGTATAGAACTCGGATCCTTCGTAAGTCCTGAATCAGAACCCGTTACGCGTAGGTACTCTCGGGTCTTTCCCCGTGGGCCTGGGTGAGTCAGGCTATGGTCGCGTTACTCATCTGACAGTCCGACTCGCCCAAGTCAATATTTTTCGGCGTGCGGAAGTGGATACCTTCCGCTGTCCACGCATTTTCATGCCGACTTTTCTCGCGCGTTTTCGGTGTCGCTAGAGGGACGTGATTCTCTGCGAGGGCTGTATAAATAACCCTCCAAAGGTCTCGGGATCTCTCACTCTTGAACAAGCTCTCTGAGGTACCGTGTCGTGAAGTTCATCATTAACAGTCTACCTTATTCTGTATATTCGTTTGATTCGTCAATCAGCGAGAATCACCATTTTGCGAGTATTAAAATATTCATTTCTCAATCACACCTCAGTTCAAATAAAAAATGGAAACCAGAAGAGAAAAATTATTCCTTCTTAACTACGACGAAACTCAAATTATTGGTGCAAAGTTACCGTCAAATGGACAAGTTTTACGCGTATTATTTTATAATCTGCGTAAGGTGAAATTAAATTTACGATCAAGTGCTCACTTAGTGATAAAAGAAGTCGAGGTTCTGTGGGAGAAAGCGCGAATTCCAACCCGAAAATTAGATCGGAGTATTGAAAAAGTGGAATCTTTATACCAAAACTGGAAGACATTACAGAAGACCTGCAAACGCCGAACACCACTGCAGGAAAAACGGGAGCATGATTTTCTGGAAGCATTGGATGACCTTTTCGATATTGCTCATGCTGACGCTTTGGAAATGATAAACATTGCAGAAGACAAAGCGTTCCTTATAAATCAAAGGAAGAAAGGACGAACCGGTTCAATGGTAGGAAGCGATCGCAACTTATTCGAGAAAGAAAGCAGAAAAATTCTTCGAGAGGAATAACAAAAGTCGAGGCGAGAAAACTATGAAGCAAATATACATGGTATGTATTTTTATATAGTTGTGTAATTTGTTTTATTCAATATTACATATGCTTCTTTACTAATATATTCTTATATGTATCATTTAATTAAGAAGAATTAGCGGAATTAGAAGATTCATCATCAATTGAAGATGAGGACGAGGTAATCGAGGATCCTGTGGAGCATCGTATGGAGGATTCCATGGAGGACCAACCAGGTCCGAGTAATCCTAAAAAGAAACGCGGCAAGCACAATTTTATAACACCCAAACTTGTGGCGACCATGGACAAATGTAAAGTGAGTGATCGTGATTCAGTCGCAATTATAATAGCAACAGCTCAAGCTCTGAACCATAATGTCGATGATTTGATAATAAATAAAACAACTATTCGTCGCTGTCGTACACGTTTGCGCGCTGAGAGAGCTACGTTATTACACACTACATTCAAACAAAAAGAATTCAATACAATTACAGTACATTGGGATGGAAAGATGTTACCATCATTAATGGGTAAAGAACAAGTAGATCGATTACCGATAATAATATCTTTCAATGGAAATGAACAGTTGCTTGGAATTCCAGCGATTTCTTCAGGCACTGGAAAAGAACAGGCCAATGCTGTCTATGATTTACTTTATGAATGGGACCTTATTGATAAACTAGAAGCACTTTCTTGCGATACCACAGCGTCAAATATGGGACGATTACAAGGTGCATGCGTAATTTTCGAGCAAAAGATCGGGAGGGATCTTTTATATTTGCCTTGCCAACACCATATTTATGAGATAGTTTTACGGGGCGTTTTTGAGGAAACATTGTGTAAATCTACTGGACCTAATATTCCCCTATTTAAACGTTTTCAAGGATCCTGGTCTCAAATCAATAAATTAAATTTTAAATCGGGAGTTGACGATCAGATAGTTCAAGAGTCCGTTGACAATGTAGCAGAAATAATAAACTTTGCCTCATATAGTTTGGAATTTAAGCAACCACGAGAAGACTATCGCGAATTTCTAGAATTATCAATAATTTTTCTTAATGGAACAGTTCCAAAGTTTTCCTTCCGTATACCAGGAGCATTTCACCATGCTCGATGGATGGCCAAGGCTATATATTCTTTAAAAATATTTTTATTTCGGTACGAATTTGTTTTAACAAAAGATGAAGAAAATGGAATCCGCGACATTTGTATTTTTCTGATTAAACTGTATTTGAAAGCATGGATTAAAGCTCCAGTTGCTGCAAAAGCTCCTAGACAAGATTTCGAGTTTTTAAAAAACTTATATGCATATAGTGCAATTAATAAAAATGTAAGTCGCGGAGCATTGCATAAATTTTGTAATCATTTATGGTACTTAACACCAGAAGCGGCAGCGCTGGCCTTTTTTGACTCCACCATTACGTATGACGCTAAAAAACGGATGGTAGTAGCTTTAGATACTCTGAATGATACTGACGTCAAAAAATTAATAATTAGTTCGAATAATGTACCTCAGTACATCAACACTGGTATTGAAGAGTTTGTTTCCCAAAAAACGTTACAGTTTTTTAAAAGATTTGAGATACCCACAGATTTTATTAATAAGGATCCTTCAGAATGGGAAAATGATACAAATTATAATATTGGATTAAATATAGTTAATAATTTAAGAGTTGTTAACGATTCGGCCGAACGAGGAGTGAAACTTATGCAAGAGTTTAATAATGTACTATCGCAAAATGAAGAGGAAAAACAAATTATACTGCAAATAGTTTCAGATTACCGAAAGCGCTATCCAGAGGCAAAAAAAACTACGTTAATGAAGAATTTGTAAATTGTTTTTAAATGCAAGTATTAAAAAGTGTGTAAATTCAATATCTGTGCTTTCTTTTTTTCACCTATTTATGATATAATATTATAATATAATATTCACAATTTCATATTAAAAATACTATCTTCTTATTAAATATAAAATATTAATGACGAACATTCCTCCATTTTTAAAATTAATATTATTATTAACTTGCAAATAATATAAGAAATAAATTAAAAGAATGGTCACTTTCATTAAAATACATAAAATTTAATATAATTAATTAAAACGATATAAATATTAATTAGTTATTATGTTGAAAAAATCATACTGTAGCACTATTATCGTAAATATTTGTGCACAAAAAGAACGTTTAACCATCATTCTAATATTTTTCTTCATACCTTTCCGTTCATACGAAATCTCACATTTATTGGAACTTTAACGCGGATGTGCCACGTTTTCCTCTTATCCGATCAACTTCATCTTTTACGGGAATTATTTTCTTATCCAATGGAACAATTTTAGGGGGCGGCGTAAAAAAAATTTTGCAAAAAAATTTTCACCAAGAGTAGCTAACGACCACCCTATTGCACATCGCTCGAAATGAAATCGAAATTATGTCAGTTAATGGCTCCCTTTACGGTGCAATTTTCATTCGACTCTTCGTTTTGACGAAATCCCCGCGCATCCATTCCGGAGAAAGCTTCTTCCTCGCGAAACCACGCCTACGCTCGACACAACTGCGTGCGTTTCAACCTAAGCTTCGAAGCAATGTAGGCTAATCGCAGATTTGTACCGCCCCCCCCCATCCCTTATGTTCTTCTCTTCGTATTACATCCGTCTTTTCCCGCTTCCATTCCTGTCACGTCTCCTTTTCCTTCCTCCTTCCCCCTTCCTTCACCCCCTCGCGTTTCGCTCCTTTTCTTTACCTTTTACCCTTCACCCTCCCTACTCTTTTGTTCGTCTTCGGCTCCAAGTCGCTACAAAAGGGAGAAACAGCTGGCTCTCTTTGTAGTTTTCTTTTTTTCTGGTCGCTTGCCCGACTTACACCCTCGACTCGTGTCCCCCGTCATTCTCCAAGGGTCGTTATTACTTTCGCGACTGTACCGAACGTAACAGAAGACGCCTTTTTCTACTGTTCAACGTTTCACAACCCTCTGGTCCTTTTTCACAAAATTCTAAGATAAAAACTTATCAAAAGCGTAGATTTTTTTTTTTGTTATTTATCTTCAATTTGACGATAAAGAATCCTGTGAATCTCAAGGTCTCGGAGTTCGGGAATTTCGGGGGTGAAATGTCTGAGATTAGGTATTGGGGGTTGTGAATTGGGAAACGGTGGCTGAACGTCGAGGGTCGGATATCGAGAATTTTGTGTGGGGGTTGAGAAATCAAGAGGGTAGTATTGAGGGTTGAGGATTGTGAGTCCGTGATGGTAACAGATCGGGGGCTTGGTGGACAGGAATTTGTGTTTGGTAATGGAATATTAGGGGACGGAATACGGTGGTCATGGATCGAGGATCGGGGTTAGGGGTTGTGAGTCGAGGGCAGGGCTCAGTGGTCGGTGGTCGGGATTCTGGAGTCGGTGGTCGAAAGTTGAGGGTTGGGAGTTTACGGGTCGGTGGCCGAGGGGTTCTGGGTCAGGGTTAGGATTCGGGATCGAGGATGACGTGTCAGGGGCCTATAATCGTAACTTAAATATTCCACATCGCTAAATAATACAACGAAACAAAAATAATTACAAAAATAAACGCTTGTAACTTCAGGATAAAGCATTTTCATTGTAACGTACCGATCGGGGATTGTAAGCTTACCGACATTTCCATTTACCGCTAAGTCGGTAAAATCGTCAATCGAAACCGATTTATCGACAATTTACCGACATTCCCAAAGATATTAAAAATATAAAAATAAATATTGCAAAGAAGGAACAGCTTCTTAAATTCTAATCAAGAATTATAAGAAACGCGTACAAATAATACTATTCTGAACTGTAATCCTGATATCGCGAAACATCTCCGGTATGCTTTCGATCGATCGTTGGGCTGGGAAGCCTCTGGTCCGCCCCGAAGCACTTCCTCCGATCGACCGTTGACCGACGGCGCGGCGGTTAGGATATTTTCAGCGTGGCTTCTAAATTCATCGACGGCTGAAAAGTTCGGAAGCCTGTTAGGTAAAAGCATCAATCGTTGCCGCGTTATAGTCGAAACGATCGAGAACCGAGAGCGGCCGGATAGGCGGAACCTTGAAATATTGATTTGCTCGTTGAAGCTGATTTAATCGAGGGTCCGGCACAGAAGCGTTGCGCTCGTTAGAGCCCGTAAACAAAGGCTGACGTTGAAAATGCACTTTTGACCAAGCTACCGTGGAGAATCTGCTAGCAAGCGACGCTTTCGGTACGACCGTCCAGTCGGGGATTTTAAATTTCATTCGGGCCGAGATTAAAGACGCCGATGGTGGACCCGTTCCCGGCTCGATAATCGACGATACGCCGAGAGAAATTCGCGGAACACCGACGACACGTTAAAATCGTTTCGTTGTACAAAAAATAATCGTATCTAACAATGCCATTTATAAAAATATATTTATATAATCAAATTGTTGGAAATGTTTCTCATTTCCATGTTGGCGGACATGCACGTGTGGAAATATTTCTCGTTTCCGTGATGGCAAACATGCACGCCATCTTTTGTTTGAGTATAACAGTTGAACAGAATAGTGTACCATGTATGCAACGATTCGTGCAATGTTAAAATATAACCTAAAAAGTGTATGCATCGTTTTATCGTTTAATCCTATAACCTCCGCTACACAAATATTAAATTTAATATCGTACATCCGACAAGATTATTTCAATGTATAAATCTCTGGCGAGCCCAATATTGTTTTAAATAATACTTTGCATGGTCCACCCGATTAGCATTAGGGTTGATTACAATCATGATTAGAACACCAGTCTAACAATGTGTTTGGAACGGTTTCCTATGGAAACGTTATGAAAAATTCATTAAAACATTAATATTCATGGCATCGTACATGCGTAACCCACTTTACGACGATTCGTTTTACGACTGTTCGCCTTTACGACACTTTTCAATTATACTTTACGTTACGTTTTTACGACGTGTTATCAACGAGAAATCACACGGCGACGCACGTGATATAGACGAATGAAAATGGAAAAGAAACATACGACGACGAAGCTGGAACGTGATTTATTCACTTTCTCGCGAACTTTTTTTTAAATATACGTTCTGCGAGAACAAAATGGCAACTGTGTTGACAAATTTCGAGAATCCTCGAACGGAATCGCTGAACAGTGTCGTCGTCCATTGTCGTAAATTAAACGCAACAGCTGTTTCGTTTTATCGACGGGTCTAACGCGGTAAAGCCTTTTATCTTCGTGTTCCATCGCGTGTCCCGGGTGAAGAGAAGTCAGTATCGTTTCTCGTTTCCTTGAAATTATCGAGAGTCGAGGCGCTCGAGAAACTGCACATTGTCGTCCCGTTGGACGTTTATTGGAACGGCGCTGCAACGACATAAACGTCGGGTCTGTGTGTTGTTGCGTTTCATAGGAACTCGCGTCAACGTTGTAAATATACAGTTACGAGTATATAAATAGAGTAATGTTTGTTTTCAAAGTCAAGTGTCCGATTTTACGGATCTTGTTCCTATTCGTTTACGTGAGATGGCATTTCAAGCTACGACAGGCGTCAAACGTCTCTCTAAATTATTAATAAATCGCAGAATTATTTGTCTGAGCTTTTAATCCGTACGTGGATATAATTTTATATTAAAATATATGGAAATTTTTACGCACGCACATTATTTTTGATAAAGAACACGCGGTGAATGTTTTACGCGGGACATTTTGTCCGATGCACGTTATTACTTATTATCGCGTTGATACATTCTGAACGACCATATATTTTCGTTGGATCGTGTAAAAAGATTTTCTCTATTTATACGATCGCCGGTGCAATAAAGATCGTGGTCTCCGGCGTGCTGGCAATCTCGAGCCCGAGTGCAGAGTTGGATAACCTTGCTGTGCGTCGCGTAACATATTACTCGCACTTAATTTAACTCGCAATTTAGCGCGGTTTCCTCGAAATGCTTCTCGACTCAACCCACAATTCGTTTCGGAACATAGAGATTCCCGACGTGAAAACATACTTAGGGAACGTCTACCGTCTCGAAAGAAAAGGGTTAGGTTTGGGTTAGGTTACGTCGATCGTAATCCTTTGACGAACCGTGTCGCTGCAGTCGCCACGTAATGTAAGTTAACGATCATGGTGAGAAATGTATGGTTCGCGTGATTGATCAGAACGATTCGTGGATATTCGTTTACTTGTACAGGGCGATTTTAGAAACTGAAACGAACCGAACAACTCTTTTCTAATCAAAGATATAACAAATGTATTTTGATGACAGAAAAATTCTGATCATTTTCTTTGTGTTATTTAGTACAATAGTACAAGTGCATTAGAACTGGATATAGCAATATTTGCACATTTATTATTGACTAATTAAGCTCAACGTTTAAATTACTTATTTAATGTTACTGTTGTTTCATTTATTTCTGATGAGCTGCAAATGTAATTAAACGGCTATCGAAGTTGATGTAATTGGTACGCGAGGATACGACAGTCCGGATAAGTTTAAAGTCGTTGGCAGATGTTCCTCGAAGTGGTTCGATAGAAGAGTTTCAATTTCAAACGTAAATGTCCCTAGAGTATCGAAATACATGAGTACCATCGTTAACTTCACGGTAGACACGAGCAGTTTTTAAACAACGTTACTGGGAAATGTTGTCTCAAATAACATTTCCTCTTATTTCACTGTTATTTCATTCTTTAAATAAAATAGAGTTATCTTATTTCATGAAATAACTTCGAAACCAGTAATATCTGAAATACTTTTGGAAATAATCCATTTACTACAAAGAAATGTAATATTTTTCTATTGTGGCGAATTTTTAATAAAATTACAATTCTTGGTTCGAATGCAATATTCAGTAGAATTGTCCTACGCTGGGCAGACATTATACATATGTACAGTAATGGACCGAAATATTGGCACAGCGTACTTTCTAGAATACAAATGCTCATAACTACGTAACAAATTATACCTCAAAATTCATTTTTCCATTAACTTTGTTACAGCAAACGTGGGAAAAATCTTTTGTCAAAAGAACAGTAAAAATACATTTTGGAAGTATGATTTATATTACTCAGCTAATATTATCTTCACGTAATTGAAGTTTAAGATTTTCGGGCAGCAGTTAATGCAATCTTAACTTCGTCTTGAGTAACTACTTCTTTTATTTTGAAATACATTTTGCTGCGTCTGCCAACGAGTCTTTCAGGTTATTTTGTAATCTCGTGATATATGTCTCCTCTGAGCATATAAATCAGCAGTAGTTAAAAAACAATAACTTCAGTAGTTAAAGAAATATATGATTAGTCTATAGCGACATGTACAATGTGCATTATCACTAGAATAGAAATTATTCGGTGCATATATATATATATTGTTATTTTTCTATTGTATATTATAATAATAATTACTATTTTGGCGCAGTGACTAGTTTAAACTTTCCATCGTAAGACAAGGAAGGACTAAACAAAATTTCATCCGGATTAAATAAAAATAGTAGCAGTTGTAGGGAAATTACAAACATACAGATTTTGAGTGTCAGTATGCAAAATTTGGTATCGCTATAAAAAATGAAATCTGAAATCATATGTTTTTACATTTATACTATATAACTTCAGTAGTTAAAGAAATATATGATTAGTCTATAGCGACATGTACAATGTGCATTATCACTAGAATAGAAATTATTCGGTAGATATATATATTGTTATTTTTCTATTGTATATTATAATAATAATTACTATTTTGGCACAGTGACTAGTTTAAACTTTCCATCGTAAGACAAGGAAGGACTAAAGAAAATTTCATCCGGATTAAATAAAAATAGTAGCAGTTGTAGGGAAATCACAAACATACAGATTTTTAGTGTCAGTATGCAAAATTTGGTATCGCCATAAAAAATGAAATCTGAAATCATATGTTTTTACATTTATACTATAGATATTATAGGTTATGTATATCTGAAAAGCCTGAGGATTAATCCGTGAATAAATTTTTGTTTCAGGGGCTTTGGAAAGCAGGGATACCAATGCCAAGGTAAGAGGTTCGGACCGACCACCTGATCGACGACTCCTCGCTCGGCAGCGAGCTCTCGAAAGAACTTTGGCCACGTTTCGCTTGTGTTTCAGTCTGTAGCTTCGTGGTTCACAAACGATGCCACGAATACGTGACTTTCACGTGCCCTGGAGCTGACAAAGGAGCCGACTCGGACGTGAGTATCGACGTGCAATATTCCGTTACACACGATTCTTTTTGTTTATTATCATTCGTTCTCGGCGCAGTTTTATCGCGCCTTTCTCTCTTTCGTTCGAAGCCAAGGACAACGGTACGTGTGACGCGTTCCATTCGCGAGAAAAACAAACTAGCCACAGATTCGATTAGCTCGTATGCCCTTCTTCTCTCCTTCGAGGGTTTGGTTAGTCTATGGAAGGACCAGATTTCGGGGGGGGGCCATGAACGACTGGCTGCAAAACAAGTACTGGCATCGAAGTGAAAAATTAGTTTCCAGAATCGTAAAAGATAAACAAGTGACACTAATTAATTATGGAGATACGATGCGCGTGAAACGTGACCTTTTCTGCAGGGATTTGCAGTGGAAGTTTGCCCTTTCATTAATTTAATAGGGAAAGGAAAAATAATGTCTTGTTGATTTTTAATATCGGATCAGGTTATGTATGTCGATTTGAATTTATCAAAATTAAAGTAACGACGTCATATTTTCCATTACTGATTAGAAGTATTTCTTTTGTCTTCTGTGTTATTTTAGTGGAACAAAATTAAATCTTTGCTTGATGTATCAACAATAGTAATAGTTTTGTTAAGAAGTGCATAATTACTACGTTTAAATCCTGATTTGATAGTTGAACTCATTGATTAGGCTTATCAGGCAGATCCCGTCTTAGACGCGATATCATTAGTCGTTCAAATAATCAGCTTAAATTAATTATGTACTAATGAACCGTCGGATAATTTGAGACTGTTCAAACGATTACTAATGCCACTTCAGAGATTGGATTTGCAGAGTAAACTTATCCTCTGAATTCCACTGATCTAGGCAAAGTGTAAGAATATTATTTTTTATACTAGCTATATTATTTATTATATCTAACACAGATTTTGGTTTGTAATATTCTGGTGATTTTTAAACGATAAATAATCTCAGCTAATTAGAAGCAAGACTTACTTGTTTGCTTGTTCTTACTCTTGCAGTTAAATATAATTGGGAAATTTTTAAAAAAGGTTTACAAACATAACTGAAATGTTGAACATGAGGTTTGAACTTCGATGCTAGGATCTGTTTTCTCGCGAATCGTTCATGGTTTTATTTTATATAACGAAAATGTGGTGATTTAAACAACTGTCACTTATTCATCTTCAATGGTAGAAATGAAATTAATCGCTCACAAGGATTGACCATTAAATTAAGCATAACATACGTTACTTGTCATAATTAAAAAATAAATAACGAAAGTAAATTAAATTTTATAAAAATTATATAATTTTCTATCAATTTTAATAAAATTTAATGTTTATTAATAAACTGCTTGAAATAATTTAAATATATTTACATTACCAAATATTGAATTTAAGTTAACATGAGCTTTTAAAAACGATATAATATTAATGTATACAAAATATAAATAATCTTAACAAAATATTAAGTTTAACCCTTTTAGTGCCAGCGGGCCGATCTATCGGCCCGCGGTCCTTATGCGAAAACTGCCAAGGGCCGATGCGTTGTGGCGGACCGACCGCCCAGCGCGCTTACATGCTGAGGGACTTTTTCTGTGCCTCGTTTGGAGGCCCTCGCTTGTTTACGTTCAGATCATTATTTCTCTGAGTGTCAAGTGGCATTCGTTTACACTTGATCTTTATCTCCGATGCCAATAGTATAGACCACACCACACCATGCTTCAGTTCATTTGGTTTTTCTTCAGTCTTTCTCTGGCGTCTGTTAGTGAAAGTCGAAGCGTTTTCTTGATTTCTTCTATTCCAATATTTGGTTTTAGTCAGTTCATATATTATTTTGAAATAATACCTCGGTCAATAATGGCAGAGCAAGTTCAGAAAGATACTGCAGAAAGTTTGGTGCCATCACATTTTGACAACGGCAATGCATCATCGAATAGTGATGACTCGCTCATCCATCCTGTTGGACTTACTTCATCAAGAAGACGAAGAATATTGTCATCCGAAAGTGAATTTTATAAGCGCGCATATCAAATCGGCCCGTGGCATTCTTCGCATGTACTCCGTAAAATGCCTGGCACTAAAAGGGTTAATCAAAATAAAATCTTGCTTGGAACGACGAATAAATATATCTAGCAATTGTTTAGCAACGAGTAATTAGTTATTCAAATTGTAACGATTAATTTAACTGTCAACTATTGTGAGCTGTCAACGATTAAAATACCCCCAATTTGAGCAATGTCAGTTTCCTTGGTGATTACAGTGAATCCTCCACTTACGAGATTCATAAATGCCATGTTTATGTGTTCGTACAAGGCAAACAAATTTTAGTGGGTGATTACAGACAAAAATTAAATGAAAATCAAGAATGTATCCCACAAATATTCAAATGTAATTATCTCGAAAACGAGTCGTTAAACGAAAAAATATTATTTTAGATTTTCGATTTACTTTTGCATGTAGTGCTGTATATAGAATTCTTTAACAATATTTATTATATAAAACTACCATTACCGAAACTTCACAGGTCTTGGGGATTATTTTGAAAAATAAAATTAAAAACAGCTATAAAGAATAGAGGTTGTGCACCGCTGTACCACTCGAATTAAATTTTCTCCAGCGCCATTTGAGACGAATTAACCCACGTAAGTGGAGGGGACTTACTGTAGTTCGTTACGTCGCCTCAGAGCGTGACAGATGAGGCGTTCTTCTTCGTGCGCTCAACTAAACGCGCGTTAATTAGTGGCGCCAACGCTAAACACGCGTATATGTGCATGTTAGTGGTGGGGGTATCCGTCGGGAGGGGGGAGAGGGGAAATATCGGCAGCTGGCTGCGAAAGGCGTTAAGTATCTAGTTAAGGAAGGTCGCTACTGGGTCGATGTTGACAAAACGAATATACTTCTCACGATTCATGTTGAATAAATTTTTATCGATTTAAAAATCGACTCTATCGACACGTTCATTGTCATATTAATTATAATATATTGCAATTTTCAAAGAGCTTGTCACAACTTAAAGTCATTAGTACATCTACATTATACATTAGTATCTCGCGACTCAACCACACTAACTTCCACATTCGAGCGACAAAGTTGGGTCTCTGAATTCACTTGAAAGCGGGCAAGGTATCGAATCAAGATTGATGTAAAATATATCGTGTTTAGACTCATTTTCATCGTGATAATCTCGACAATCTACCGAACATACTTTTGCAAAGATATAGTAAATTTATTTTGCATTGGTAGACCCGATTTTGTCATTCAGAAACAGGCCTCGATGCAAAAATAAAAAAACAAAAGACTATATTAATTTTCAACTATTTTGGCCGGTTTACATATTTTCCCTCTCTTACACTGTTACAGTGGATCTGAGTATTCAATTTGAATAGTATATTAACGATTTACAAAATGGCTAGTAGTAAATTGAAACACCTTGTTCCTATTTGTATAATTCTAATATCTATACTCGGACCGGCCAAAATGCAGTACTGCTTCGCTTCTTGCAATCGTTTAAAGAGATTTGAGCGAGACTTTATCCTCGGATCGAACATAACCAATTTTTTAATCGTGCCAGTTGCCTACCACTCGAGTCGACGATTGCTAACGCAGATTGACGGAAGATGGCAGTACTGTAACGGAGAACGATTATAGTCTCGTTAGAATTTTAGCAGCAGTTAACCAAGGAAACTCGAAACGCGAAAGAGGAGAGGGATAAATGGGTAACGAGCTAACGAGTGGTTAAAGCCGGAAAATAAGGGCGTAACGAGATAAACGGCGAGAAGATCCTCGGCTGGAGTGAACGGGGAAAGGACACCCGGGGCTAAGAGCTATATATATATTTTTCCACGTTTTCTCGCACCGCGCACGATTGGCCTAAGCGTTTTCTGCGCTTCGTTTAACCACGCTTGTACCACGGAATAATTACACGCGGACAAATAAGGATATTCGGGTTGGCCGAAATCGTTCGAACCGGAGGAACGTTCGCGACTCTACGAACAGACACGACACGATCGGTCGGAAATTTCAAATATTTTCCAACGAAATACTTGAAGAGCGGCGAACGTTTCACCGGTATCGTCGCGGGAGTTAATGGTTTTTATTTTCATCTTGAAATTCCGACTAAAACGATCAATGTCCTAGCCTAGTATTCCTTGGCCCTGGTGCTGATCTCCTTGTGCTTCTGTGCTTCGAAGATGACTCTGTCTCGGTATCCACGAACTGTGCATCCTTAACATTCCGATCGCCCTCGCGATTTCCCTGATAACCATGCAAATCGACGTTTCGAACGATGAAATTTATGGAATCGAGGACGAATGTGTCAGTGTACCGAGGTGGTTTCAGAATTCAAGAATTTGTCTGTATTGATCCGAAGGATTTTGAGAATAACCCGAGTGGACGGCTAGAAGTCAATAATTTTAAAGATATAAACAATTAAAATTTTCAACTGTAGCGGCTAGCCGTACAAGTATAAAAAGGCATAGGACATGCAAACGGCTAGCACGGTTTATGACATGGACAACAGCGAAGCTATCTTTGAGAAAGCCGTTTCTGCAATTAGAATTTGTAAAAAGCATGCCCATAGTAAGAATTTGTTAAACGGCCTCGATGGTGAATCGCTAGTGTCATAAACCCTGAGTTTCCCCAAGGGTCCTCTATGCAAGGACAAGCGACCATCGGCTGGTCACGCTTCCGACCTAGGACCTTGGGAAATTCCGCGGCGTTGCCACCTTCGCCAGCAAGCGCAACCACCGTCAAATCGCACCCCCGTTTCAAGAAGCGCGCTGCGAGCGCAAGAAGGGGAACGGTACGATTTGGCGGAGTTCTAAGTCGCTAATTGGTTAACCCCACCTTTTAGGGGGTTGGCCAAAGAAAACGGCGACAGCCATGTAATAATATATAAAGAAAGACGAGAGTTTTCTCGAGACCAATTTGTTCGAGAACGACGCGCAGAAAATAAAGACTTCAAAAAGTGAACGCTGTGATTATATAATACCAACACGCACTCTATCCCTTCACAACCATACGTAGACAATGCATATCGAAGTGGCGTTGGCTAGATAAGAATCGTGCCTGGCTGGTAAATCCGAGGTCTGGGATCGATTCCCGTTCAATGGTATTACGTGTTTTTTTCTGTAAAAGTTTATTGCGTCGTATTTTTCAATTATTTGTGCAGTATTCGAATATTTGAATCCCTGTGGTTTTGGTCGAAAATGGACGTTATTGAGTTTTCGTGGTGCCGGTTATTTAGAGCAGCAGTTCTCGGGGGTTCGAAAATCGGCACGTTTGGGTGTCGGTTGACGGACACGTTCAATTATCCGTAACGCGGCGGTTACGACTAACGAGCCGTGAGGTCGGACAAAGTAATTGAATTGGCGCTTCCAGACTTTGAAAGCCGACTATGCCTAACCTTCGAGAGCTTAATGGAACTGGTCGTTCGTTTCGCGTCCCGTCGTATCGCGAAACATCTTCTCCAGTTCGGTTACCGTCACCGAAGCCTGTTTCCGACATACACCGTTTCCAACTTGACGATCCAAGTCTCGCTCGTCGACGCATACCGACGGTCGAATACTTTGCAAACACGCACCGACGCTAGATGGCTGACTTAATTAATTCGAGCAACAACGCACAAGCGTCTTCGGGAATATGGAAGGATCCCGTGTAATTCTTCGAACAGACAGAGTTATATGGAGGAAATGTTTGGACAATTTCAGAAGTAAAATTAAAACGAAACAAGGTTTTAGCTGTTTATTGCTTAGCAAAATTGTTTAGAAAATACAGACAAATTTGACGAGAACTCTATCAACCCCCTACTTCGACCTCGATTCGATTCTGTTCGAGAGTTCGATCAATCGTCGCGCACGAGTATCGAAGAAATCGAATCTCTGGCGATCGGATCCTCCGTCCAAGATCCCGATCACGAGTTCCTACGCCATAATCCGAGAGCCTGCGTGTGTGTGCACGGTGTAATGGTGTAATAACGCAGGACACGCGGACGAGGCACCTGTTCAAGCAATACACGTACAACAGCCCCACGTTCTGTGACCACTGCGGTAGTCTTCTCTATGGTGTCATCCACCAGGGCATGAAGTGCCAAGGTATCATATTTAAAAAAAGAAAAAAGAAAAAAAAACAAAGAAAACGAAAATAAAAACGAGAACACGCAACCAGTCACACGCACACAGACACACAAAAAAGAAAAAAAAATATGGACACAGACACTATCGCACATATTGTTAATCGTACAATTTTGTTTTCTTTGGCCCATCGTTTGTTCGTGGTGTTGCTTTGTCTTCGTCTTGTTCCTCTAATCTTCTTCGTGTTCTTCTAATACGTGTACTCCTTCTTCTAAGTCTTTTTATACCGTTTCCTCCGTCGCACCTTATTTGTAAATATTCTTACGCGAAGCTTGCCTCTCTCTCGCAAAGGTTTGCCATTTCCGCGCCTATGCGGCGACCTGGGTGCTCACGAACCTCGTAAGTACGATTAAAAATTGAAGTGCAGTCCACCAACGACTCCCAATGTGTATATGTGCATTAACTACTTTGTACAAATAAATAACATTTTTATTAGAAACATTTATACATTTTTCTGTTCATATTCATAAATTAGGGTACATGTACTCGATACAGCTCATGCTGAATTAACCAAATGATATAGCATGGTATTACATAAACAAAACAACAATCCTGGTAAATTAGAACGTGCGATTCTTCGTGTAAAAATAAGTCGAAAATGGGGAATGAAGGTTTCTCATACGAGGCTTCGTTTCCAAGAAAATCGATTCTGAATATCCGTTGATGCGCACGTGATTGAGTACGACGTGCCTGACATGTCCGTCCATTACTCGTTACTTCTACTTACGTTCGTATTTGTGAACATTGACGGTGATATGGCATAATAATACTACGCCACCGCCAATCAGGGATGACGAGTGATGGACAGCGCCACCGAGCTAAGTCGTACTTGAATCCTCGCATGCCCCATAAAATTTTACAATCGATTTCCAGTCTTTGATTGGGTCCTCGAACTGTTACGACCAATGGGAGACGCGTACCAGAGCGCTCCCTGGCCGTAAAGGGTTAAAGTACATCCGATAAGTCTCTGGAATCTAACATCCAATCGTACTTTCGAGTATCACCCAGGCGCCGCTAAGATGTCGAATCGGCTGTCACCGGAAACACCAAGCGACAGAAACTGGAGCTTTTGCTGGTGATAAAATAGGAGAGCGATCAAACGGCGATTCTTCTTGTTATTTCTTCGCTCTCCGCGCGCACAACGACGCGTCGTTTGAACAGCAACGTTTCTGTGACTATGCTTGCATCGAGTATAGTTCGCGAGAGGCTTTCTCGCCCAGATTCTCGTATCTTGTTCAAGCAGAGATCGCTGGTCTGCGAATGTATCGATATGTTAACGTATTGTCGACACGCATACACACACTTATCTCTATATGTGCGCACAGAAACGTGTACTCGTTTACCGTTTCCCGAGGACGGGAGCAAAAAGAAAAGAGGAGGATGGAGTAAAAAGGACGAAGAAAGGTTGGAGCCGAGGTTGGACAAGCGTTTTTGTCGGGTTGTCGGCAAATATTTGCTTTTTATAGGTTTCGAAATTGTTATTCTAATTATTTACGACGACGAACCGTGTCAGATTCTTGTCACCGAATTGTGCCGTGAGTTCATTTCAGTCCTATACTATTTACTGTTCTATTACCAATGTAAAAGTTCACCTAAAAATAAGACGGTCTTGGATGACATTTATTAGTTTAAAAAGTTGATTATTTTGTACTGAAACATGTAGATTATAGTGTACAGCATATTCGAAGAGGTTAAATATCTTTTTCTTAGCCGCGCCGTGAGCTTAAAGAGGTTAAGAACCACTTGAATAGGTTTTTACGCAGCGTGAAGAACGCCACCTAACTCCGGCCTAAGGAAACGAAATAAAGTTGATTTGCCCTCTCGCTCTGCACCTCCAACCTCTCTTTCGCGCCAACAGCGACGAGTTTAGCGATGGGAATCGGATGTCGCCAAGCGTTTTCAATTTTTATCTGTGCACGATTTTCAACGGTAAGGGAAATTCAGACGAGTACTTGCATTTAATGTTAATATTAAATTAAATCTGTTCGTCTCGAAGAATCTGCTCTATTCACCGACCGAAGAAGGATTCGAAATAATAATCAGATTATATTCGTCGTCGACTACCCATCGCCGGTCTCGTTTCATTTACCAACACTTTCTCCGTTCTCCGTCTCTTCTTTACTCGAGTTTGATGTGCGCGCGCGATATGTTTTTCCTTCTACTCGTACGTTTTGACCTCTAATTCCTCGTACACTTTCTATATATCGTGTGTGCACAAGCGTATGTTTTTCGGTTGGTGTTCGCGCAGTTCTGTGTACATACACGGTTACATGGTATGGCCTATGGATGACGAAGCTTGACTCTTTCCGTTTATTTTTCGCGTTACTGCCCTCCTCGACCAACGATAGTCAGAAAGTTTCTCGATAGGAACGGGTTCAAATAACTTCACGTTCGAACGCATGGGGTATGTCGAAAGCACCCGAGGCTCGACAAACACGCGATAGTAGATTACTTTATAGAAACGAGACTTAGCTGAGAGAAGCACGGCAGTAATCGACTAGCTTAGACGATAGAAATGAAAAAGCTTCGAGATCAAGAAACGTTCGTCGTCCGTCGATACTTCCAAATTGTAAATAGCTCTTTCGCTTTGTCTGTATACGATCTGCCCGTGTTTTTACTCCTGTGTCCCCTACGCTTCTACGTGTCTATCGGCGAATCTGTCCTGCACTGCACTTAACAGTTTTTGTTTACTCTGTGTCAAGTGTCACCGCAAAACTGGGTTCTGCAGCGCACGCGTACAATCACCGCCGTATTCGTACGTGTTAAACTGTAAACACGTAAACCGGACGTTCCGCGAGTATGTGTTTCAATACTTACCTTGGCGGTTTGCAAAGGGTATAGACAAATAGGCAGGTAAAACGTACCTTTGAATCGATTTGAACGTATCGTACGTCGATCGTTAGCTTCCTTCGAATAAAAAAGAATTTTTTATTTAGTTTCAATTGCCTATCTTTACTATTTAAGTAACGTGATATTGTGATTTATTTCAGATTCTCCGTTTATATTATAAAATTATACAAAATTCAGAAATGTTATAATCGTCGAGAAATTATCAGAGTATCTTGGTATTTTTCTATCAGTTTTTTATAATTAACTATTCTTAACGTTTTTGACTGTTTCCAAATATTTTATCTTTAGTTACATTCTATAGATTGTGTTACATTATTAGCGTTAATTATAGGATTTTCTGGCCACAAAGATGGGCGTTTAAACATGGTAAATTTTTTTAAAGGGCCAACGGTCAACACGTGGCGAGTTCAAATCGATTTAAGGGCACTTTTCACGCGCTTATTCACCTATGCCTTTTTTGCCCAAGCAATTCTTTTTTTCCTCCCGTCGACACGTTTATCGTTCGCCCGAGGCCCGAATGCTTGGTTGTCAGTTTTATTTTTCTATCGTCCCGAAGTATGCATCGTTTAATGGGCACTTTTAATCAGGCGCGAAGTTTTCACGTGACGTGCACGACACCGTAGGGAAATTTTTTCTAAAAATATGGTCAAAAGTCCACAACAATAGTTGTCTTGCGAATATATTGTCAACATTATTCAATCTCAGTAAGTATAATGTATTTACGTTAAGACGTGTGTTAGGAATAGTATCGTGAACTTTTGGAAATTTATTCTGAAAACACGTATTTCGAAAGCATTATGAAATTTAAGTAGTAAACTGTATCATCCCACTTTAATCAGACTTACTGGGATTTCTTTTCTCTTCGTTATGTATTTCTGCACCAATTTCAACAAGGTTTTAGCATTTAAATTACTTCTCTGAGAAGTTTTCTTTTTTGTTTTTCCTTCGGTAAAGCTTTCAAAGTAGATTTGTATAATGAGATATGAAAATGCAAAATCGAGGAATTAATTTTGTAACATTCTGCGTGTTGGTACGCCGTTGAAAGAAAATAAATACACCCAGTAGCTACGTATCAAATCATATACAGACTTACACGATATAATTTTAAAATTAAGTTTGTTTATTTTTTGATTACAAGATTCTAGAGTAGTCTTTTGACCATATTATCCGATATACAGTAATCTCGCCAACGTATCCCCAGACGGAAACAATAAAATTCTAGGAAGAAAGTTCAACCCGCCCCGGATAACTGAAAGGCCGAAGTATCGATTTCGTTTCAGTATCCCGGGGATATCTGCGTTTCCTTAAGCGCGTCGAACGAGATCGTCCGGCGTGACGAATCACGGTTGCCAAACGAGCAAAAAAAGTTGGTCCATCAAAAGTTCCGGATCTTCTTCGTTCCTAGCGTCTGTTTCATCGGGCGACACGCGAACGAGCCAGAGCCACGGGGACACGGTCACGGTAAAAAAAAAAGAAGAAAAAACCGTCGCTCGGAAGAAAAGTTAGGGCCACGAATGGCAAAGATGGAACACCTACGGCGACGCCGCGAGTGTTGAAGTCGTGGGACAGGGGAGGTCACGGGAAGAAGCGGGGCGCATCGAGTTGGAAAAAGAGTGCCGTGGAAATTAATTAAACGCTCGAGTCCGCGGGCTGGAAGAAAAGCTTGGAAAATTGAGGCGCAAGAAGCGCGTTAACGTTTCTCTCCCGTCGTTTCTCATCTCCCCCACCCTCACCCCCCTCTGTCCCTCTTTTTCACGCTGGCTCGTTTTCTTCCGTTCCGTCCTTCCCGTTGTGCTTCGCCAAAGGAACCTGAGAAAGGGTCGAGAACGGCCAAGTATCGAATTCAATTTCGAGGCCCCGAGAGCGGCTTCGTCGGCGTCCGAGAAAACGACGCCGTGCTCCTCGGAAGCAGCCGGCAACGAGATGCGGGCTGTCCTTAGTCCTTCGAGCCAGCAAATGGATTTGCACCACGGGGGAACATTATTTCCTTCCGCTCGACACCGCGAACTGGAACAACCATTTTTTTGTCGGAAACGTCTCTGACATTCTTCCCCCGGACACGATTCGTTCCACGATCAGCATAAACGGAAACAATTGCTAGTCCCGGTCGG